TGCAGTACTATACTCTGTGAATGACCTCGGTTTGTACATAGCAGGCAATATAACGCTGTACAACGCTATGATGTATGCGCCAAACAGACGAGTTTTTGTCCGAGGTTATTCTCTCGTTGAACGGAGTATAGTGTGTGCAGCATCGTATGTTCCATCATTCTTCTACCATATCTCTTACTCACTCTAACGAATGGTGGCTTCCGGCCGAATCCGCTTCACTGTCCCTTGATTCTCTCTAATTCAATTTTTAGCGACATCACTTTTACGCAAAGATTTAAATATGGAACAGCAGGATGTAAATATAATAAAGGTATTTACCATGAAATATAGAGAATAAAAGACCGAACTTACATGGACGAGGCCGTCAAAAAGCGTGGTCAATGGTGGTCTGATGGCTCCTACACACAGAACGTGCGGCAACGCTTGCCGCACGGTGGAAGTTGGCGCGATAGTCAATTAACATCTCACTCGCTCGGAAGTGATAGATATATAATTTCCACCGTGCGACAAAAGTTGAATTCAATCCAACTTTTGCCGCATGACGGAAGTAATATTACATCATTTCTAGAAGTTTTGCATGATGAGGCCGACTTAAGAACATAGAATTATTGGTTAGTGCGATAACTTCCGCCGCGCAGCAAGCGTTACCGCGTTCTGTGTGCAGGAGCCATATAAATGACCTTACATAATCAATAATACTGGCTTAGTTTCCATCGAGGGTTCAATCCAGATCAGAATATAAGAACCAAAGACATAGAGAAATGGACTGGATCCATGTGTCAAAATGGTCGATAAAAGTAAGAGAGAGGGACCATGGAAGACGGCCATCTCTGTCTCTTTCCATTCAATGGCATAATGGGAGAAAGAATGAGAGGGAGATTGGCCGTCTTCCACGGTTCCTCTTTCTCATTATTGTCGACCATATTTAAATACTTAGATAGGGATTGCGTAGTCTATTCTCTATGTCTTTGGTAAGAATTAATCAACTACAGTCGAATATTCCCCTGTTACAATCGAACGACAGGGGAATGATCGACCGTAGTTGGTTGGTTCTTACATTCTGATCCGATTTAAATTATAATACAATTAATAATTAATGTTCGTGATCAAAATACATCATAAAAACGAACGTGGTTTATAAATCAAAACGTATGAAAAGAAGAGCATAAAAACCACCGCACTAGATATTGTTTGTGATATTTAATTATCATTACATTAATAAAACATTAGACGTTTCGGCCACAATCTGGCCATCTTCAGTAAATTCACAATCTCTTAAAACGCAAATTACATATAGCTGACATTAAATTCAATCGTCGTGTGATATAACTATATATGAACGTGTTCTTTCATCATGTGAAGGTGCCTCGTACAACAATGTTGCAACGCCAATTATCATATTACGAAATATGTAAAACAAGAATTTCCAGATTCTGTTTTATAACAAAAAAATGATGAATCTCAAGTACATCCTTTACACAGATGGAAATTTGTCGTGACATTGTGTTATTATTTTGAAATAAGGGCTTCCTAAAGAGTCTCTACAAAGAAGCAGAAATTGTAATGCCTTCCTTACGTAACAAAATAGTTCCCACTATTCCGACTGTATCGGAGAGCAGGCGAACTTTCTTCTGTAAATAAATTGTCTATCTATGGTCCAAAGCAACTCAGACGAAATACCCATAGACATCAAGTCCCACGAACATCAGTCTTAAATTAGAAAGCGTCTCTTGCAGGAAACCTTGGAGAAAAGTTCTAACCAAACGAGGCAAATATCTCTCGCCAAGAGGTGCGCAAGCACGCCTCTTTCTGACGCACCTATAGCGTCGCAGGTTCAGACAAGTACTAAGAACAGCGGCCTGCCGCAAGTCAATCAAAATTTAGATAACAAAATTCCATTACGATACGGAACGTGACATGAGCCCTTTTGTGGTATATGTGTATCCCAATAACAGGGATAGCATCATGCTTATTGGCAGAATTATTACTAAAGCCGGCATTTCAGACATTCTGGAAATAAAAAAGATTGGTAGAGAAAAGATTTTAGTTGTAGTCAAAACAGCCTCTGTGGCAAATAGGTTAGTTGAAATTACGATTTTTCCTAAGTACAATATAATCTCTGTATTTCATCTCTGTATTTTCATTCCAGCTTTTATGGTTCTCAGAACCGACGTTATACAGGACGTTCCACAGCAAATTGACCTAGAGACACTTAAAGGACGATTAAATCTAAAGCTAAAGTTCTCGATGTTCAGAGGCTCAATCGTAGAAGTGTAAGGGATGGCAAAGTGAAATATATTCCGTCCAGGACGGAATATATACGTATAAGATTCGCAGAACAATTGCTGCCGCAAGAGATCTTCATATACAAGGCTAGATATGAGGTTCGCCCCTTCATTCCTAGATCGAGGATGTGATCGTTGCTATAGAGTGGGACACATTAGCAGTTCATGCAAGAATATCCCCAGTCTGTATTGTGACGAAAATAAGCATGATTTGTGTTGTACTCGTAAGGAGGCCTCTAATGAGACCCCTATTAATTGTCACGATAATCACTGGGCTAATGATTATAAAATTGCCCTATCATTAGCAAACAGCGTGCTATTATCAGCATGGCAGCCGTTGAAAATATTTCCATTGCCGATGCCAGGAGTGCTATCAGTGCTGTCTGCACTATCATGGCAAATTTTTGCCATTTTCCTCCCCTCTCTTGTCTTACAGCAGTAAGTACCCTAATCTTTCTAGCGGTAAGGGAAATACGAATACATTTGAAAACTTCAATAGGTTTGATCTCTTGGATGGGGAAGAGCCTGAAGAAGAACGTTTGACTTATGCAAATGTACTAAAATCTCATTCTCACTCTTCTTCACAGAGGTTAAAAAAACAATATCTAGAGGGATGAATTACTTCATATCGTTCAAAGGTAGCCCAATCTGCCAGGATTCTTAATACCCATCGTAATAACTTAAATGAGGTTAATGGTAGAACACCTCATACATTCGGCAATGGAATGGCTTTCCAAAACGATTCACCTTCTCAAGCGGACTTCCGTGGGACAGGTATAGACAATGACGTCACAGAACTAATTTTTCTGGTCTCAGAAATTTTCACCCATTTTCAGAACAATAATTTTATTGAAGCATTCAGTGCCGTTGTTAAATTCATCAAAAGATTGAGATCTATATCCTTTTCTCATCCTCTCTTTATGAAGAAGAAAGAAACGTCCCTCCAGAAAGAGATCTTTTCAATAACTATTATACTATGCTTATTATAATCATCCCTTGAATAATATTATATTCACGAATCTATTTCTGAAACGAACTACAGTAATGATTTTCGGAATTAATTTAAGTAATTTTTACAAATATTGCACTTTACCCGTCATACTTCCGCAGAAGAATACAGCTCCTATCCCAAAGTTAGGCATTCTTTCTGCCCTAGGCATTCTCGTCACTAAGATACAGATGTTCAAACACTCAAAAAGCCTCTTCTAACAAGGGTTCTAACAAACAACTAAAAATATTTCAGTAGAATTCTCTAGGAATTCGGCATAATCTCCCTTCATTGCTTGCTATAGCAAAGGATTACGACATTTTTTGTATACAGGAGACTCTTCTTAAGCAGCAAAATGCCTTTAAAATAATTAGAAAGGACATCGTTCAAACAGCAGATAGAGATGTTTGTATTTTCATTCGGAACAATATAAACTATAAGATTCTTGATTTTAAAAATACAGTCCATTCATCCGCAGAGTTTCTAGCGATTAAAATTTTTTATTTTAATACAGAATCTGTGGTTGTGATCAATATCTACAGATATCCCGGTCAAAAAACTCTCATCGCTTTCTATAATACTTTAATCAATGAATTGCGGGATTACAAGAATTTCATTATTTTAGGCGACTTCAATGCTTACTATACAGCTTGAGGAGGCAAGCAACAATCAACAGCGGGGAGGAAGCTCCTTCAGATCATACACGAATACGTTATTCTCGTTATTCTCAATGGGAAAATATCCACTTTCCTGCAACTCTCTTCTACTCTCGGTTATCGACTTTGGCGGTTAGCACCGCTTTATAATGCTTCCGTAGAGTCTAACACATTCGGGAGTGACCATTTCCCTATAGTTACTACTATAGGCATATAGGTTACCTTAAGATCTAAATTTTCCTATAAATTATCTTTCTCTAAGGAAGAGTACCAAATCCTATTTCATAAAACTTTCTTCTGCTAAGAATTTACCACCGTTAGACAAGAAAGTATTAGATTGCTGAATTCATGCAAGCTATTATTGAGTCTGCCAGAAGTTTTCTTTCGGAAAATAAGTGTTTTCCACGTACTTCTGTACATCATCAAACTTCCCCCCTGGTGAAAATCATGGTGAATCCGAATCCTATTCGGATTCTGTTGTGCAAAACAAAAAAAAGGCCTTAAGGACTTCATATCTAATCCTACCAATGAAAAACATATTGAATTCCAAAAAGCTTTCCGAACAAAACCGTGAAGGATGGCGCAAATTAGTGAACAGTTTTAATGATAAGACTCCCACTAAACAAATTTGGTCACTGATTAAATGCTTTAAAAGGAATATAGTCAGCAATAATGGAACAATGCAAGATCTTCGGGATGCCTCATTGAAGATTATTTCTAAAATATGTCCTCCATTTTCTTACAGTGATCGCTCTAAAACCCTTGCAATGAGCAATGAAATCTGAAGACAGTTAGAGTGCATCTGCACCTGGCTTGATGATCCTCTTATTTCCGAAGAACTTAAAAAACGCGCTCAACTCAGTTCGTAAGAATTCTGCCCTTAGCTTGGATCAAATTAGTTACAAAATGTTAGAACAAATCCCTATCGAATTTGAAACTTATTTCTTATCCATATTCAATAAAACTTTCTCTAAGGATGTCTTCCTACATTCTTGCTCCTGGTGATGCTTATTCTCAAACCGGGTTCTAAAGCGGTCAGACCCATTTCGTTTATGTTATGCGTATAAGCTCATGGAGCATATCTTATACCGAAGATTGAGCTGGTATAATATGATTAAATCCAGGCCCATTCTATCACGATCACAATCGGGTTTTAGACCTTTTGGAGCCTGTGACGACAATTTGACCACTCTAATCACTTCAGTGAGAACTGACTTTCTGAATCAATCTCCCACGGCTGCCGTTTTTCTGGATATAGTGGGCGTATTCGACAATGTAGACTCACATATTTTATTGGAGGACTTAAGAGAGATTGGTGTTCCTGCTCTTTTTAGAAAATTCGTTGAAAATCTTATCAGCATCAGACATCTTAATTTTGTCATAGATGATGAGTTGTACGGACCATATGACGCCTATAAGGATACACCCAAGGGTGGATTACATTAAGTCTATTTTTATTCGACATCTATCTCAGGGACTTTGGATAGCATTTACATCAAGATTCCTTCAATACGCAGACAATGTAATCTTATTCTCCACATATCGGGACATAAATAAAACTATTCATTCAGCACTCTTTAGAAAATATATGGTTATCTAAAATTCAGAAATATGGAAGTTTTGTCCCAAAAATCCAACTGAATTATCTTCGCACAAGGTAATGCAATAAATAAGTAAAAAGGAAAAAGGGCTACGAGCCTAAAAACAATCAATATAAGATGACAAACTGTATAGATAGTTAAAAAATAAAATAAAAACATGTCATGAAATTAAAAACGTAAATTATAGTTTGGCAATCAGAAGGTGAACAAAACAAACGTTTCCTTGTTGGATCATTTTCAATGTGACAAATAAATTAATAATAGAGTTGTAACGTAGATAAAACATAAGAAATTAAATAAAATTCGCATTCGGACGCAATATTAACTATAAAACTCGCTCCAAATTGAGAGGAAATCAAACAAACGATTATAGTTGATACAAATGTGCTCCTCCGTATATGTGTATAAGGACGAACATATTTCTGTTAGCAAGTATAAATTATAATAATAAATTAACGACGGAAGTAAATAAAAAAATAAAATAATAAGAAAATACAAATCGAGTCGCAAACAATAAAAAGAAAGGTACAAAACAAGTCGCAATAATAAGTTAAAATTAAAAGAAAGAGGCAAAAATTATCTTTGATGTTATAAGACAAGCACATAAGAAATAATAATGACGATAGAAAAAGAGTAAAATGTCGACATTCATTGTATATGTATAATGAGTTTAGAACAAATAAATTTATAATAAATACCTTAAAATGATGTGTTATCGATTAGGCAATGTGATGGGAATCGAAATTGATCATCTCTTTAGGAAGCTAAGAGATAAAGTACGACATATAAAGACAGGAAGGTTGAAATGGAAAACTAAAAAGGAAGGGGAACATAAGAAGGAGAGAATAAAGTGGAAGGGAGAGAAAGTACGGAGAGAAGAGATGGATAGGAAAGGGAAAGCAATTAAGAAGGAGAAAAAGATTGGATGATCTGTGAGTAAGTATCAGGTAAAGATTCGGTATCATTTTGCCTATTAAGGCCTTGTTTCTGTCTTTTAATATGAATCATTTCAGACACCAATCTCTTATTATAAGAAGATTCGCAGTCCAAAATTCTCACATCATTCCATTTGAAATTATGATCAAAATTGATTCGATGATCAGTTATGACAGTAAGAGAACCTGTATTCTTTTTAATGTCAGAGATATGTTCGTGTAGTCTCGTGCTCAATTTTCTTTTTGTCTGAAACTGTCTCCAACATAACTCGTCTCACAATCATCACATGAGATCTTGTAGACAACATTCTGATTGGATAGGAAATCAAGCTTGTCTTTTCCTCACTTCATGAAGTTTTTTAATGTGTTGGGAATAGAAAAAGCTAATTTACAATGAAACATACTAGAGATGGGAAGGAAACTTTCAGAAATAGATTTAACATAAGGAATCGTAAAATATTTGTCTTTATTACGTGAATAATAATGTGTAATATCTTTGTTATATTTGTAAAACTTTAATCTGCGTTCAATTGTAGAGAAAATAAAGGAAAGAGGATAAAACAGTTATTTAAGAAAGCATTATGAATAGCATCTATCAAATTTTTTTGTTGGAACCGAGGATGTGATAATAGGATAATTTTCAATGAAATGATGGTATCTTTTTTATGCATAAAGGATGATTTGAATGGAAATTAAGAAACCTTCCGGAAAACGTCTTTTTATGATAAATGTCAAATATAATTGTCTGATTATCTATAACAAGCATTGTATCAAGAAAACTCAATCTGCCACTTGTACCAACCTCCAAGGTAAACTGCAATCTCGTATGTAAAGAGTTAAAAATGTTCAAAGTGTCATCGACAGTATCAGATGGAAGCGCGAGCAGAATATCGTCTACATATCTAAAATAGAACACAGGTTGTGCTAACAATTTTTTAAGTGCTGTTTCTTCTAGATCTTGCATTACAATGTCGGCGATTATCGGAGATAACGGTGAATCAGAGTGCCAAATACCTGTCTGTAAGTTCTATTATTAAAAAAGGTAGAATTTAAAATGAATCTAACAGCAATAATAAACTCATTTTTTGATATGTTTATCTTCGTCGAGATGTAAACCCATCTCCTGTCGATGCTATTTAATGCTAGCTCAACAGGAATATTAGTAAAAAGATATATTACATTCAACGAAGCCAAAACATAATTAGGATCAAAAACAGAACCATTTAAATGCTTAACTAAATGGAAACTGTCTCTAATATAACTGGGAGCTTTTGGAATACTATCACTAATTAAATTATGTAAAAAAAGAGAAAAATTATTATAATGGACTGTTGACACATGAAACAATCACTTGCAATGGGTAACCCTCCTTATGTATTTTAGTCAGACCGTAAGCTCTAGGTATAACACCATCAGATGTAAGCAGTCTACGGTATGTTAGTTCGTCAATAAATTGATTTCGCTACCATCTCACCAAAAAAGTGCGTAAGTCTCGAGTTAATTTTTTACTTGGATCTTTATTAACAAAGGCATAAGTACTTGTGTCTGAGAGAATTTCCTCCATTCTTGACACATAGGCGTCCTTATCTAGAGCAACAGTGACATTACCCTTATCGGCGTTTGTAATGAGTATATTAGGATGGTTATTAATAAAACTCTTGTTAGTGCGTAACCATTCCAAAATTAGTTTGTCAGTAGATGTAGGAGAAGAAAAATTATTGTGGAATCTATTAAGAATTGGAAGGGAATTATTCCTGACAAAATTAATGATATTATTAGGACGATCAGTAATATTATTTTCGATATGTTTAATGAATTCAAGGTACTGTCTTTGTTGTATTTATTGATTGGAAGCCCGAATTTTTCGCCAAGTTGCAAAAGGTAACGAACCTCTAAGGGAATGTCACTTAGGTTGATAAACCATTTATCATGTAAAAAGTCTAAACGAGGAGCCTCATCAAAAATGTCGGGAGCAATATCATTTCTCTCAAATTATAAAAATTATAAGGCTCAATAAATCAAAATAAGTAAAAAGGAAAAAGGGCTACGAGCCTAAAACATAAATTGACAAACTGTATAAATAGTTAAAAAAAATTGAAATAAAACTATGTCATAAAATTAAAAACATAAAATATAATTTTTTAATCAGAAGGTGAACAAAACAAACGTTTCGATCCTTGTTGGATTATTTTCAATGTGACAAATAAATTAATGTGACAAATAAATTAACAATGGTAAAAATTAAAAAAAGAAGAACATAAAAAACCACAGCACAGGTTGTCGGTTGTGATGATTAAAACTTTATTCAATAATGAATTATTTAAGCGTTTATCAATACCCATATCAAAAAATAAGCGATTAAACGTTTCGGCCACAATCTGGCCATCTTCAGTAATTAAACATCCTCTTAAAACGCAAAAATTTTTTTACATTTAGTCGAAATAAGTACAACGGTCATATGTTAAAATAGATTAAAAGTGTTCTTATTAGTGTGACGATGATCGTGCGTCAATATTACAACCCCAGCTTATATGCCAGGACACAGTAGAACAAGAATTTCCAGATTCTAATCAGAATAAAATTTATAATCTCGTTAATCTCTTATACTCGAAAAATAAAGAGTAGATGCGTTACCTGTTTTACAGTCAAAAAACGAAGCGGTGGATCTCAGACATTACTTTCGCACAATTAAAATTTAGTCATAACATTGTGTGTTTACTGATCATATCATGTATTTTACCACTATTTATATACCAAGTGAAATTTTCGAAAGTACCAGAACAATCCTTGAAGGAAAAGGAGAACCTACCTAAGCAAAGGAAGATAAATATCGGGTAAACCTTCCGTGTCACTTTGCTTATTGATGCCTTTTGTTTGTTTCTTTATATGAATCATTTCTGAAGTTCTTCTTTTTATCAAAGATCGTTCTGTATCTAAAATTTTTATATTCTCCCAATCCAGATTATGCTTATTCTCGCTAAGACGATGACGCGAAACTACGGAGATCTCAGAGGACGGTTTCTTTATGTCGGCTTTATGTTCCTTTATCCGAGTTTTTAATTTTCGTTTCGTTTGGCCCACATATGATGATTCACAGTTTTTACAATTTATTTTATAAACTAAACCGCTTTTTTCATGCTTTGAAAGAGAATCTTTTCCTGTCTTAATAAACTTGTTCATTGTGTTCATGGGTTTATAGGCTATATTAAACCCATGAATGTGTGAAAGTTTTTTGAACTTTTCGGATACCCCACCAAAATACGGTATCGTAAAAAATTTTTTTGAATTAGAGTTCGAATTATTTTCACCATGATCTCTTCCAAGTTAATTCTATTTGCTAAAGTTTTAATTCTATTGTTTATGGTGGAGAAAACAAATTTCAACGGATAGCCATTACCCAAAAATACATTAATTAGTTCAATAATGTTTTTTTCATGGAATTTAGGATGAGACAAAATTATAATTCTATCAAGTTGACCGATGATAACACCTCTTTTATGTATTAATGGGTGATTTGAGAAAAATAGATAGAAAAACAAATATCTTAATTACTAGAGCTGATAAAGGCAATACCACCGTAATTTTGAACCGTGAGAGTTACAAAGAAAAAATGTATAACATTCTCAATGATCACTCCACATACATTTCAATTAAAAAAGATCCTACGAACAAAATTACCGCAGACAATTTATCAACGCTCTCTTTATGCACGGCTAATAAAATGTCATCCACTGTGGAGTTAATAATAGTCGTGATCGCTTTGATGAATTCATGCAATGGAATTGAAGTCACATTAACAATATCACTCCACCTACGTTCAATACTTCTTATGACTAATTCAGTTGGAATATTCGTGTACATGGAGACAACATCAAAAGATACAATGCTGAAATCCATATCCATAGCTTTG